TACAGGAACAAACTTCTACGCTAATTGAAACCACTAATTTATTCCACTAATTCGGAGGTTCTGAATGAAGCCTAAGGGCCCATTCTGTCCCGTTTGCGAAAAATGCCTACCTATATCTAGATATTAATTGTAAGTTTTTTAAATTAATTTATTGCAAACGCTGGAGAGAGGGGGCGCTACTATCAATTTTTTGCCCCGGTTCAAAAAAATTGTAGATCCGGGGCTGATGCATGAACATCGCTGTCACTTAATATGTAAAATTATATGGGGAATGTCATCGATCGTCATTTCCAAGCCAACTGGACGCCTTTTTTTCGATTATACGGTACTTCAATACACATAACAGATATAATCAAAAATATTGTTGCCCGTAAACAACTAGAAATTAAACAACTTGGATGTAATAAATGTGTCATATTGATGATACAAAATAATTCTAATAGGTTTAAAACCAATAAGAAAAAATGCGTAAATCATAAGTTTTAATTATTCTAATGTAAATAATATTTATTTATTTATATTACTTACAACTCCGATTTCAATCATAATACCTTAACTTTACAATCTCCATTATCCTTCTTACCTTAATTTTTTATATCAAGATAAATCTGAAATTATAAAATTAATAATTATAGAATTTGTATTATTACTGATTAACACCCAAAAAACATTTTTCATTTTGCCTTTACCCAATGACTAAAGAATCCACCTTTACCAAAAAATCAGTTATGCCAAAAGCACGGCATATAAATCAACTATACAGGGTGTCCCAGAAATAAGTGCAAATATTTTAACTGGTAGTATAGTTCAACCCCAGAAACACGCCTATGAGGTTTTTTTTGCGAAAAAAAAATGTTGAAAATTTAAAATTTTTCTTGACATTTTCCGGGAAATTTGAAAAAACTTTTTAGTGCCATTTGTATATTCACCTGAGATTTCCCTACGGTGTATCTAAACCTTGCAGTGTTGCAACCTCCTATGTTATCCACATTCTACATAGTTCGGCGGAACATAGTTCTACATTTATAAATTATTATAACATAGTTCTACATTTATAATTATTAATAATAATTATAGAAAAAAAAACACATTAATTATTTTTAGTATTTACCCTTTCAATGAAAACTTAACACAAAAACCACCGAAAATTAACTAAAACATTACGTTTATGACGTTTACGAAAATCTTTGTTATGCTGCAAAATAACTTTATTTTGGAATAAATTTAATAAAATGATTCATGTTATTCACAATCAGGTCACAAAAAGAAATTCCTAAAATGTTTATCGTAATTTAGAATTCAATTCAAAAAATTTAGAAAACAGCCAAACGAATAATCGATTCATTTTTGTTTTGTTTGTTTTCTTTCATGTTTCTCTGTTTTATTTGAACCATTGTTTTACAAAACACCTTGAAAAGCGCACATTACTTTGAATACCTTTCTGAATGAATAAATGTTGAGAATTATTGTCTCTTATCGCCACTTTACGAACTACTTTCAATCTAAGAAAATACATGTTTCACTCAACAATTATTGACAACGTATTTTGTTTTTTCGCTATTTTTTCGATGTATTTCGACAATTCCATCGACAGCCTAACCGTCAGCCAAGAACTGCCGCGTGTGAACTGGTCCTATGAGTCGCCGGTCGCCGCGCCGTCGTTGCGGGCTTGCGTCAGACGACGATGTTAAACGTTGCCGTAGTTACAATAATTTCAAATTCAAGACATTCGAAGCAGTCAAATTCGTATTAAATTTTAAAAATAAAACAGAGAAACATGAAAGGAAATAAATAAAACAAAAATGAATTGATTATTCGTCGGGCTGTTTTCGATGTATTGAATTCTGAATTACGATAAACATTTTAGAAATTTCTTTTTTGTGACCTTATCCATAACCAATTCATTTGTGTTTTGTTTGTTTCCTTTCATGTTTTTCTGTTTTATTTTTAAAATTTAATAAGAATTTGATTGCTTCGAGTGTCTTGAATTTGAAATTGTTGAAACTACGGCAACCTCATATGACGCAAGCTCGACACAGCGGCGCGACAATGGAGCAGTTACCAGTGATGCGCCGCTCTCTTGGCCGACGGCCGACGCGACGGTCGGGCTGTTGATGGAATTGTTGAAATACATACAAAAAATAGCGAAAAAACAAAATACGTATTTAAAATTGTTGAGTGAAACATGTATTGTCTTAGATTGAAAGTAGTTCGGAAAGTGGCGGTAAGAGACAATAATTCTCAACATTTATTCATTCAGAAAGGTATTCAAAGTAATGTGTGCTTTTCAAGGTGTTTTGTAAATCAGTGGTTCAAATTGTGATGAGGCCTATATGAAAATAATGTGTTAAAAATGGGGACTGTTATTTTAGTAGTTATTATAATAGCATGTATAAGTAAAGCAGCACAGTGAAGTGTATTTTAATTAAGTGTATATCGAAAAAGAGAACTGTCACAGTTACATCGATCTGTCATAAGTATCTTTTTTAATGTTGGGTAAGTTTTTTAATTTAACTTTTTAAAACATTTTTTAACACATTATTAAACATTTAACTTTTAATTTATTTTATGTAATAATATCACAATCTTAAAAATGTAATGCATCTCTGCAAACTCCTCAGGTGTTGTGATTTTATGACTTACTTTTAACATATACTTTCTTGTCCCTATGGCAACACAGTGCGTCGAATTAACTGAAATCCGGGCTTGATCCGGGTAATTGGATGTAGTTTTTTTAGATAGGCGATATCTGCCGGTGGTTCTCAAAATGTTGCGATTATTTTTTTAAATTTTCAAAGTTAAATAACTCGGTTATTTTCAATTTATTTTAAAAATGGTAAAGAGAAAATATGTTTATTTTGACCAGATCTACCACCCCTTAAAATATCTGCACTCATTTCTGGGACACCCTGTATATAACATAAAAAGTACTAACATATAAATCCGTTGGGTAAAGGTGTGGATCCGGTGGCTGACCTTGAAACGAGTTTTTGCTGCATATAGCCACAGACACTACGCATGCGCACATCTTCGATGTTGCCAAATTGCGAGTTATTTTGGAATTATTTTCAGTAGAAAACAAATATGTGCTTTTCAGTGTTTTTTTGTCAATATATACTGTATGATCGAAAAAACGGCGTCCAGTTGGCTGGGAAATGACGATTGAGGACATTTCCCATATAAAATGACAGCGATCTTCATTTCATAGTCATCGCTGACGCTATTTTTTTTCAATCATAGTACGCCCGGTATATTATTTATATTATTATTTTAATATTTCGCACAATACGTGAACGGTTATTATGTATTTTTATAGTCAATAAAATTATATAGAAATAAAACTCTAGATTCCTATCTAGATTATTATGCTACGTTTAAAAAGTGCTTTATTAAAAATTCGGGATATTAAAAGGGATGTGTCCAAGTTTTTTTCTTTTTTTTAATTTTTAAATGCTGTAGCTCCATGTCATGTTCATAATAGTTTTTTTTAACATTCCATCAAAACTACGGAGGCCTTAAAAGGCCTTTTAGCCTCCGTAATGAAAATTGTAGAATCAGCTTCAGCAAAAGTTAAAAAATGCTTCCTTCTAAAGAGAAAAAGACAAAACATAAAGCTTATTTTAGTCTTATCAACTACACACACTCTTCGATAAAATATATGTTAGATTTTATCTTTCACTTTTATTATTTTAAAAAAACATGAAAATACTTTAAAAACTTTATTTAGTTTGATAAAGATACAAAATTATTATATGAACTTCAATACGACACGGATACGAGTTGCGTTCGAGAGTTTATTCGAGTTGTGCGTTGTGCGTTCGAGTTGTTCCTCCTGGGAAAAAGATTGGCTTAAATATTCTTAAAGTTGCTGAGTCTTCGCTTCCCATCATGGAACTGCGACTGGTTTACTGAAGAGACCATGGGAACATCGTAGTTGGAAAGATTCTCAGGAAACATAATATGATTGTTTATGAGTTATATTAGAACGAACTTATACGTTTAACTTTGAAATAAACAATGAATAACAATAAATAAGTATAAAGAGTAAATAAGGTCATTTGAAGGTTAAATATGGATATAACATATATGTCTAAAATTGCTATTAATCCACTAACTTCATATTTTTAAGAAATTATGATACAAACATTAATTATAATCAAAGTATATTATATTATGTATATAGTATAAGTATATTAGTAACATTATAGGTAAAATGTTACTTCTATCTCCGATTGATTGTTCTATAATAAGACTCGTCATGGTAGTACTTCAAAACATCAATACATATAATCAAAACTATTGTTGCCTGTAAATAACTAGAAATTAAACTAACTTGAAAGAAATAAAATAATTCTAATAAGTTTAAAACCATTAAGAAAAAAACCGTAAATGATAAATTTTAATTTTAATGTAAAATATATAAATAAATGTTATTATTATTACAATTTTATATATTCATAATACCGTATGATCGAGAAAAAACGGAGTCAGCGATGGCTATGAAATGAAGATCGCTGTCATTTTATATGTAAATTTATATGGGAAATGTCATCGATTGTCATTTCCCAGCCAACTGGACGCCGTTTATTTTCGATCATACGGTACTTTCATTTCACAATATTCATTATCCTTCTTACCTTAATTTTGGATATCAAGATAAATCTGAAATTATAAAATTAATTATAGAATTTGTATTATTATTGATTAACAGGCAAAAAAAAATTTCAACTGCAAATAATTCGAAAATAAACTGCAATTTGGCAACATCGACGATGTGCGCTTGCGTGGTATCGATGATCAAATGCAGCAAATATGGGCTTCAAGGTCAGCCACCGGATCCACACCTTTACCTCTTGTTGATTTATATGCTGCGCCAAAAGATCGTTTGACAAAAATTGATTGATTTTAATCGATTTTTTGGGTAACAACATCGATCCTCTATTAAAATCGATTCGAATTCTACATCCCTACTAATCACTCCGCGCGTCATCTGTCATCTTGTGGTATTTGGACATTTGGAATTTGGATTGTGATTTGGAGTTGCAGTTCACAATGGAGTTTATTTATGTTTACAAATTTTCAAGTATATTATCTGATATTATAAAAGAGTGAGAACTAGACTATTTTTTTGATTTATTAAGTTTCATTTAGAAATAGAGATCATTCCATTCTATAACTAATGTTAGCAATTAAATAATTGCAGCAGGAAAAATAAAGTAATCTTTATTACCTTCTAGAAAATGCCCGGAGGAACGACTTGTGCTGTTGCTATATGTAAAAATAACTCAAAAATAGTTAAGCAAAGTGGAGAACCTATTAGATTTTTTTCCTTTCCTAAGGATCCCAACATACGCACAGAGTGGATCAGGAAATGTTTTAGAAAACATGAATTTTCAGTGGACCATGCACGTATTTGTAGTAAACATTTTAAGTCCGATGACTTTGAAGACTCACTGCATGCTAAATTACTCAATTTTTATCCAAAAAAGCTAAATAAAAATGGTAAGTAGGTATCTTTTTTGTTTGTTTTCATTTGTAATATACAATAAGTCAGTTTTTAACATGATATGCATACATTTTAGCAATTCCTTCACTGTTACTATGTAATTCCGGAATGGTTCACACACAAAAAGATTCTGAGGATAGCATTGAAATGGCGTTGAAAAATGAAATAAAAAATGAGAGCTTATCCATAGATGATGATGAGAGTCTTGCAGAAGAAGCAATTAAAATATTTTTCTTAGGTAATACCTGAATTCACTAAAAAGTTCCATAATGCTAAAATCATTTATTTGATTATTTATTAGAAGAAGAATTGTGACCCAACCTGATGTTCTTGTAGAAGTATCTGTTGAAGAGAATCTGCAAGCAATGATAAGGGCTTTGCAAGAGGAAATTACTGCCTTAAAAAATCAAAATGTGTCGATTTAGAAAACGAAGTCTTACAAAGTGAGCAACAGTTAAATAAAATGAATAGTTCTTTTGAAGAAAGTGCACAAGCTTTATTTAAAGATGTGTTAACATCAAATCAGATAGATATAATCTTGAAAAATCAAAAGCTCGATGGAACAATGAGGAACTTGCTAGAGCTTTTACTTTAAGATATTTGGGGAAAAAGAGTTACATCTTTCTAAGGGAGTCAAATTATCCCCTTCCTGGACTATCAACTTTACAAAAACGGGCAGCCAGCATTAAGAGACGAAAGTGAGTATCGAAAGATGACAGTATTGTTTTATAATGAAGTTAAAATTTCTTCTGTTTATGAATATGGTCAAAAACAGGATGTGCTACATCCTAAATCATACATGCATGTCATAAATGGCAAGAAAATTATTTGATAAATAGAAATACTTATATTATATTGTTTTTCATCAGAGAGTTACTAAAGCATTGCTATATGATATTATTGAAAATAATATAAACTCACTGGCAAAAAAAAAACGGCCACTAAAAACTAGACCCAATTTGAAAGTTGGATTTTTCGTAAACCACTTATTAGATTTTGATGATTTTTCTTTTAAATTTTAAATTAATTTCTTTTTAATGGATGCTACTTCAGAAATTTTTATTCAAATTTATTTTGAGCATATACAGGGCAAAAAAATAAGACGAAGTTTTTTGCCCGAACTTCGTAACACCCTGTAGGGTGCAGCAGCGGTAGTAGCTATTGCTAAATTAAATCACATTGTAGCCTCAACTTTTATGAGCATTTTGTTTTTTAATTATCACATTATCTCTTTTTGTATTGGAGGTATGCTGTTTTAAAACAAACGTCTCAGAAAAATTCAGAATTCATCTCGGAAAAGGCAGAAAGTTTTATGTGTAAATAATCAAGGCGACATAGGCGAAAACGGATTTATGAGTATTTGCAATATGAGAAAAACGGTTGTCAAATTAAAAAACGCCATTATCTGTAACGGATGTTGCCCGTTTTGTGGCTTTAATTGGGGATGGCCGAAGTCAACTTTATGTCTCCAATACCTTGGATATATTTCGAACAACAGTCCAGGATACCTGGAATCGGTATATGGAAACGAGAAATTTCACCAGGCGAGTAGACACTAGATATTAGTCCCTTAAAATTTCTTTACTTTTTTTTTAATTTTCATGTTTTAGTTAGTTTACGTCTACGTTCTGATGTTTGATTTGATTTTAAAGCTTTTTTCGAGGCGTTTGTTTTAAAGCAGCGTATCTCCAATACAAACAGAGATAATGTCGTGATTAAAATAACAAAAAGCTCACCCGATGACGCTACAATGTGATTTGATTTAGCAATAGCTACTACAGTTGCTGCACCCTACAGGGTGTTACAAAATTTGGGCAAAAAACTTCGTCTTATTGTTGTGCCCTGTATATGCTCAAAATAAATTCGGATTAAAAATTGCTGATGTAGCATCCGTTAAGAAGGAATTAATTTACAATTTAAAAAAAAATCGTCAAAATGAGTGGTTCGCGAGAAACCCAACTTTGAAATTCGGACTTAGTTTTTAGTGGACGGTTTTTTTTGTCGGTGAGTAAGACTACATTAGGCTTGTTCGGTCCTCCGGTATACCGGTGTCTGGACCGGTACTTTTGAAATAATCCGGTATCGGTATCATCTTTTACAAAACCGGTATACCGGCTTTAGTAAAGTTTGCCAAGATTAGGTTGGTATAAATAATTTCTAGCATTTCCTTTATTATTTTCAACTTATTTTTTATTAACATCGGCAACATAAGATTTTTTTTATAATATAGGGTTTTGTATAGTAATAAATATAACAATAATGATTTATCTTATGATATATTATTCTCATTATAGCTTAATTATCTATCATTAATTTTTTAACATTAATAACTATCTTTCTCATACTAAAACTAACCTAGAAATACAAGAAAAGTGTGCTTGTGACCATTGCGGGTAGCAAATTAGGCACACTAAATAATTAAGTCATTTAATTAACTCGATCAATTGTTACAAACTAAATAATTATTACAAAACATAAAAATTCGGTTTCTAAGCGCGAAACGTGAATGTTGAAGGTCGAATCTCTATCCCGCAGAATAATCCTTCTTCTTCAGCGTTGCCAACTGCTTGAACCGATTATCCCCAACAAACCTAGGGTGATTCCACACAATTCCACACATGTATTTTTAGGTCGATTTTGAAACATTGACACTAATGACAGTTGACAGTCTTGAGTAGGTATTGACCATATGACCAACGTATTAAAATTGCAATAAAAATTTTAAGATTTAAGTCTGCCACATGCTATTAAAAAATTAAGGTTATTTTCCAACTAAATAAAGAGGAAAAACATCGTCCCTTGCATAGGTCCCTTGCTTTATTTTTGAAATATACTTCTTGTAATGTAATGAAATATACTTTGATTAAAGTGTAAATACGAATTATATTATACAGGGTGGCGCACCTCATTCGCTTCGGTTGATTATACGTAAACGGACAGATGTAGAAACAAAATATTTCTTGGGTATATATGGAAAGGCAATGTGCATAATTTAAAATTGTTTTAAAATGTACAGAGTATGTCAGAACTAAGATCCACACCAAACTTATATTTTTTTCTTATGGAACACCCGGTATTTTATTTCATATTTGGATCGGTGGACACAAAATAAGGCATTTATTATAAGGGTTAAATATGTTTACAATCTTTGTTTTTTGAGATATTTAAATATGCATGTTATAATACAACAAATTCTCAACACCCTGTACATTGCTTTTCTGAATTAATTCTTGTGCTGAGTTTTAAGCCAAAGAAATAAACTTTACCGAAAAATTTGATTGCTTCGTTTAATGTATACAGGGGTATCAAAAATTGCTGGTCTATTTTAAATATTTAGTTTACATAAAAACTCAATTTTTCAATAAAATGGCAACCAAGCGGGCTAGTGTCGTCATGACAAGTTTCTAGTGACAGTTAGTAGTTATTTCAAAAGTGAAATTAGTTTATGGACTTTATTTAAACTTATTCCAATTTAATTTTATTTGATTTCCCTATAATAGTTTAGTAAATAATATTTATTAAATATCTATTATTTATTATTCTACCAAGAAAAACGAAGAAGTGGTTCTGTGATTTATTTTACGAAGACGGTAGATATATGAATAGATATAATGGAAAACAAATTTCTTGCAGTGTAGTGTAGGTATATAATAAAATTATATAAGAATTCTTGCCATTTAACTGCCGATGTAGAAATTTAATTCCACGCTTTGTTTGTCATCAAGGTTACTATATTAACAGCGCTTTTACAGGACTTTCAGATGGAGCGGACGGTCCGCGCGGAGCGTCCGCCCTGATGTTTTTTCAAGATAGCTCATCCGGAGGGAGCATACGCGACCCATGTGAAATTGTTCATATAAGCTCATGGTACTTGCCCGAAGTCGCGGACGGTGCGTCGCGGACGCTCCGCTCCATCTGAAAACGCTGTTAAATGGAGCGGAGCGTCCGCGACGGACCGTGCGTCGTGTTTTTTCAAAATAGCCGTCGGACGGAGCACACGCGCCCATGTGAAATTGTTCATATAAACTCATGGTACTTGCTCGACGTCGCGGACGGTCCGCTCCATCTGAAAGCGCTGCACACTGGTTCGCTCTTATGGACGTACGTGGCCAAAACCTGTATTTTATTATATCAGTGAAAATGAATGTATCAGTTAATATTTTTTAGTAAATCTATAAATATTTAGGCGTTTGGAGTTGCCTAACATATAAAAAAAGTTCTTTATCATTAGGCGTTTTCAATGATGATGGTTCATTAGAATTGAAAAGTGTTATTTATTACCAATAATTACAAGGGTATTACTTTATAAAGGTATTTAACAAAAATTGAAAAAAAAAACAGATTGAAGAATGGTTAGAACATAACCGGTATATAGTTCATAAGCTAATAAATAGATAGATACAGAGTGGCCTATTAGTGTGAGAAAGTCCAATATCATCGTTGTAGACGAAAATATGAAAAAAAGTATTATATAGATATTTGCATGGTTTATAACAGTGCATATCCTAAAAATATTTTGTTATATACAGGGTATCAAAAAAAGTAATGATAAAGCGTTGTCTTTTTTAAATCACAGCTCCCATTTTTCTGTACATAATTCGATTCAGCATAAAATTGTGCATATAGGACACTATTTTTATTTGGAAAACTATGCGGTGTTGCCATGCTATTTCTTCTTTATTAAAATTTTGGTTAATAATAGTAGGTACCTACATATATCCGAAAATTGGTTAAAACCTGAAGTTAATTTATATTTGTTAATATCTAGTACTATACTATGTTAATACCCTGAACTTTACCAATATTTTCTTAACACCAAAGAAACGAGAATAAATTTGTGAAGAAAAACTCACATTAATGTGTGCCGGTTATTTTTTTATGGCGTGGCTAACAATGTAATATTTAAAATACTCTATTTCAATTTTTTAAATGCACATTTCTTAGCCATGCAACATTTATATAAAACTTTTGTTTACGAAGACAATTTATGCTGAATAGCAGATATTAGCAGCTAATTTGACATGGTTCTTAAAAAAGACATTATGAAGTTTCATTTAAGTTAAAAACAATCACTTAGTTCAGCTTCGATATCCTTGATTTAGTTATGTATAAAAATATATTTCAAAGGTACAATATATGTTGATATTTTGAAATGGTTAGTATTATTTTTTTTTCATTTTATTTATCAAAAACTGATATTATATGAGGAAAGTATACGTGCAGTATAGTCTAATTATAATATGCACTATTTTATATTATTTTGAAAACACTAAGCGAGTAATTTATTCATTGTCGATACAAAAATAGTTAAATGCTTTTTTAGACTATTGTATATAAAATGTAGGTGCTCTAAAGTGCATTTTCCAAAATATATTTTTATAACAAACCTTTCATGTTTTTAAATATAGATTATAAAATATTTGATCATATATGATCAAAATAATTTTTTTCGATATATTGAGTTTTGGCCAAATTTTTATAAGGGAGGGAACTACTGTGCGCTGTAAAGGTTGCCTCGTAACTTTTGGACCAATACTACGTCAGAGGGATGCTACAGAATGTATAAAATCATAGATATAGGAATAAAAAATAAAATGCAACCGACAAAGAGAGATAAATGGGCAATACAGTAAAGAAAACACACATCAAACAACTGAAAACTATGGACGCCATACACTATATACAATAAAGTACACAA